AAACGTCGATTCCCTACGGGGAACTACCTACGTTGGGTTCGAGGGCAGATCTCATTGACGTGCGGGCCGAGTTCTTTTCCTACGACACAATGGCTTAAAACTATAATACAAGAAATGTACAATTGAACACATTGAATCTATGGCTGCAGGATCGGAGTGAGGCGGCTGCTTCGAGATGACGAACGGCTTTCTTGACGCATCATCGGATTCGACAGCGACTCGACAACACAGTAATGACGACGTAGATGGAGGTGACGTGCGACTTCGATGGAGATGACTTGACGGCGACACCAAAACTACGGGTGTTTTTCTTAACTACTGTGCGAGTTTTGCCTCACACCTACGAGGGGAAATTTTAGTGCGAGGGGGAGATTTTACCTCGCTATGCAAAATACCCACGGGTCAGTTAAGGGGGAAGGCAAAAAGAAAATCCCGGGACAAGCAAAAAGGAATAGCGGTCTCCCACCGCTCCCCAAGGGGTGCTGCACTACGCAGCAGTTGCGTTCACGCGTACGTGAACAAATAAGTTCCTCGCCTACGCGAGTCGACATAAATTCTCGTACTACGAAGTACGCTGAAAGTAAAATATTAATAAACAATTATACGGACCTACGGCCCGTGCGACAAATTAAATCATTTACTACGAAATAGAAAAAAAACTTGCTGTGTACTACGAAGGTACACTATTAATTGACTACGCTGAAGAAAGAAAGGAAAGAGAGAGGGTGAGAGAAAGAAGAGTAGCCGAGGCTGCCCTTATTCCTCCCACCGGTATCCTAACTCACCCCTCGACAGCGGGGACTCCTCTCGCTGGTTCTCTCGTCTTGCGTACGCCAGACGTTCCTGTTCAGCAGCATCCAGTCAAACTACGCGGGCAATCCTACGCGCTCTACGCATGCGAGCATGATAATGTTCTAAGAGGACGTCGCTATACACATGCTGATTTCTATAACAAAACGCTGTGTGATGGTTTTTACTACGACAGCATTTGCATGTTACGCGATTTGGATTTTCTACGCAATCCTCATCGAGATGCTCGCCTCCGCATCTGAAGCAACGCCCGCTACGCGCGTGCATTCAGATCCTGTACGATAAGTACGGAAATTTGCGGCACTGCGCGCTAAAATGATGCTGCAGACAGAAGAAGCAACGCGTTGTTGTTGCGACCGGGTCATTTGGGCGAGTTCTAAACTCGTCCCTAAGCTCACCAGTTGACGTATATGCTTCCGTACGAAGTGGTCGTCGAAGCGAACCAGCCTGGGGGCAAAAGGCGGAAGGAGAATCCGCACGTACGCGAGGTGATGGGGACCGACGAACGTTACGCCTGTGAACTTGCTCCCTATGTGGGGAGTAGCTACGCGATGGTGTACGCTCATGATGGTAATGATATTGTGGTGAGCGTGCGCGGCTACGATAACAATAGCGTTCGCGACTACGCGATGTACAACAACAGCAATGCACTTGGTAGCAATGGCGATGTCTACGCCCGTGACGATCGCTGTAAGCAGGACTTACATCGCGCGAATGTACGCGGCGGCGCTGCGGTGGACTTTCGCTACGTGGTGAGCGCTGTGCGTATGCTGAATGATGTTGCTGCGGCGGAGATCGCCTACGCGATGATCGAGCTCGATGTTGTTGAGCACGTGCGAGACGTTGTGGGTTTTCCCTACGCCGATAATAGCTACGTTGCGCTGCTGGTTCACTGTCCTCCTCTTGGGAGTATTCATGACAGCGTATCTGCGCTGGAGGGTCGTGCGTAAGCGAACGACTGCGGCGTCGTGTTGGCTGTGGTGGTGTTTCAGCCGTACGTGTTGATGAGACTACGACACCTGTAGTTCCGCTACGCGGATGTTCTTGTCTTTCCTGCAACTCCAGCGTACGAAACGCATCATCAAGTATCTGCATTAATACGCTGCGTGTTGGAGCAGCCTGCGCTACTATTTGCGGAGGTGTTGCCGCCTGCGCGGTGGTATTAGGCTGCTGCGCTTTAATGATGTTAGCTTCTTTGGACATCGTGCGTAATTATTCGCTGTGAGACGGGTGGGCCTCGATTCGCAGAATTACCTGAAAGAGGAGAACATGAGGCTATGCTTACGCTGTTGCTAATGCGTACTGGGGCAAGATAACAGACGTATACGAACGTTATCTACGTATTACGATAAACTACGATAGAAATAGGAGACTAATAATGAAGTGAATTGAATCGATTATTAATAACCTACGTTATAAATTGAACTATGAGTGAAAATAGGATGAATATAAACTACGTTATATATTCTAAATGCTGATGAAAATACGTACTAATAAGAAAGTTACTACGCTACGTATGTATTGTTAACTACGCTAAAGTAAATAGAAAGTAGATTAGAAAGGGGTTGCGTGTATTCGTCATTGGGGTAACGCGGTGCATAGTACACGGCTTACTCCAATGAAGAATACATGGCAAGGAAAAAAGCGATTTGGTCTACGTGAACAACCGTAATGAATGAATACGTGAAAACGGTGTGCTGTTTGATCAGGCAAGGACTACGAAACAAGGGGTGTGTGCAGTATGGGAGAATGCGTGGTGAAATGCGGGGTAAATGCTATGACTACGAACAAGGAACAGAAATTAATTACAAAATTGAACAATAATTACGCAAAGGAAATTTTCACCACGTCGCTCTAGCGCTGCGGGCAGAAAGAAAAACGAAATACGAGAGAAAGTAAGAGCGATAATATAATAAAAAAACAAACATGAACACGCTGCGGGCTTAAAAAGAAATGCGCTAACAACATAACTACTTACTGCACACAGGTACTACGAATGAACTTAAAAAAGGAAAGAAGGGGTACCTGATCAGACAGCACTCCGTGTCGTCTACGCGTGAGTTTTTGTTGAATACGTAATTAGCGTAGAGCAGAATAGTGGAATAACACTGAATACGTCAGTAGCTGCAAGGAAGATGTTGAACTGCAACGTGAAGGCGTGCTATTACGTCAAAAATGTGCAAAAAATGCAAAGGTGTTGTTGAATAGCATTACTTCGCGGCCTCTGGCGCATGCGCGCGTACGCGTCGCGTACCAACGCTGGGGCAAGCTATTGCTTGTCCGTACGTGGTAAGCGAGCTAGATCTTGAGAATTACGTTGCGGAACAAGGAATTTTAATTTTGCGCGCTACGAACATACTTATGAGCCGATTTAGCGCTCTTGAGGGTTGAATGCGTTGAGCGGGCGGAGTTTGAGCTACGATTTTTGAAGTCGACTGTGTCGATTGAGCGCGTATCTCTAGCGGATAATTGCGTAATTGATCTTGTTTTGGTATTACCGCTAGGCATAAGGACATCAGCCGATCGTACGCAACCGTCCTTGCCCTGATGTACTTTTTGAATAAGACCGTACGGCCAGTGGCCTCGCGCGAGCTTTTCGTCGGCTACGATGACAACGTCTCCGACTTGCGGAGTTAAGTTAACGTATTTACCTTGACGTACGCGAGACTGCTGACGTTCCCGCAATGCGGAGAGATAGTCGGAGTGCCAGACTTCCCAAAACTGGTCGAGAAGAACAAGCATTTCCTTGTACCACTCCGCAAGATTGTGGGAAGCGTCATAAACCGGGTCTACTTGCGATGGCAAAGGAGGCAGTTGGATGTTAATAGCCGGAGAAATAAAGTCTATTGGTCGCAGTACGTAAGCAAACACGTCCCCCTCCCGATAGGGAGTGATAGGACGGGAATTTAAAGGTTGCTTCGATTTCTGCGACTATAGTTTGAAGCTGATTGAGTTGAGTACAGCGCGACCGATGGATTTTTTATACGCAGTTTTGAACAAAGCGACCATACGTTCATAAAATCCTCCTTTCCAGGGGGAAAGAGGAGTTATGAACTTCCATACAATTTTGTGCTTTACGCAATAATTTGAGACCGACTCCAGGCTTCCCAGGCCTTAGGGGAGTAAAGCACTGATATGATGGCGCTTTCTGCGGCGTGAAACGTGGTCGAATTATCGCTGTACACGACGTCTGGTGTACCTCTACGAGCAATGAACCTACGAAACGCGAGTAAAAACTCCTGCGCGGAATTGTCGAGTACAACTTCGAGATGTACTGCGCGCGTTGCCATGCACGTAAATAAGCTGATCCACACTTTGTTGGAATTTGGTGTGCGAATTGCTTACGACTAGTGGACCGAGATAGTCTACGCCGATATTTTGAAAGGGTCTTGACCTTTGTACGCGTTCTGGCGGTAACTGCGGCATATTAGGATACCGATAAGCTTGCCCACTGATTTTCTTACAAGCAACACAGCTACGCAGAGTTTTACGAACATGTTTACGTATAGATGGAATGAAAAAACGTTTCCGTAGATTTGCTATGGTATGGTACACGCCACAATGATGGAACAAGTTGGTGATAATGAAGTATTATCATAGATGTTAACCTATGCGTAGGCACTAACAAAATAGGTGCCGTATTGAGCGGCCCTACGCGCGACGGACATCGATGAGCTGATCTTGTGCTCGTTGTGCATTGCATTCAGCGAGCTTTAACCGCTCTAGAGACGTCTCACTCTCACGATAATGCGTGAGAATGAGGAGGACTTCTGCGGTATCGATATCCGACACTTGTATAGTACCTGATGACGTATTGACTCTACGGACGGCAAATTTTGATGGATTTTATCGCGCGTACGTTGAGATACGCGATCGTAAATTTGCTTACGTAGAAACTTAAGCACATAGGTTGTGATACGAACGAGTTTTAAGTAGTTATTTGTTACCGAAAAGGGTAACACCGACGCAAACTCACCTTGTTGGACTACGTGCGCTTTTAAGTATTCTGCTTCAACATCTTCACCGTCAGACGGTGGAAGTTGGAAATTAACACGTGCATTGGGCCATTGACTAGATGGACTACGCAGAAAATGAGGTCCAGTCCACCAAAGGTGATTTTCAGCTTCCTTCGTTGCCAGACCGCGAGTAGCACAGTCGGCAGGATTGTCCTCGGAAGCTACGTAGTGGAACTTGACTGGAATGCCCTGAGCCTCAATTTCTGCTACGATACGACGAATGGCATCTACGCGATTTTGAACAAAGACCTTGTAAGGCTTTAACGCGTGAATCCAATGCAACGTAATTAACGAATCTGAGAATACGTGTATGGCAGCGAAAGGCAAGTTTAGATGTTTAAGTAAAAACTGCGCCATACGAACGCTAATTAGAGCTGCTAAAAGTTCTACGCGTGGAATTGTGATTGGTTTGGGATTATTTAATGTGATTTTGCCATAATTAAGTTGGAATACGTTATGGCAGACATACGACAAACCAAATATGCACAACACGCGTAAAGACGCTTGGAAGCGTCGCCGAAAATGCATAGCTCTAAGCTACCGGATTTTGAATTTGATGGCAGAACTAAGCGTGGAATAGCTGGTAACGGATGTTTTAGGCCAGCTAAGAGCTGAGTCCACTGCTCTAACTGCGATTTCTCCAAGGGGGTATCCCAACCCAATTCCTGTATCCAGAGGTCTTGTACAAAGACTTTAACTGGAGCCAGAAACGGGGTAAGGAGCCCTAGAGGATCGTAGGTAGAAGCTAATGCACGCAACGCTGTACGCTTAGAATTGACTTGGACTTGCGATGTTTTTATACGAATGTCCAATGTGTCCATATCGAACTGCCAACGAATACCGAGTAGCGTAGCGTTAGATGGATTGATGGCGCGATCCTGATCCGATATAGCGGAGTTAACGCGAGTAGAATTGCACAGGAACTCCCGAAGGTTCATGTGCATCCTACTAAAGATGGACTTGACAAGTTTGTACTTGCTAAGTGCATCTTCCCGCGAAGTAGCGCCCAAGATAACGTTATCCACGTAAGTATTACGTGAAATCTCGTCACCTATGGGTGATGCTTCGCGTTGAAGATACAACTTGATGGCAGCAGCAAGTAAGAAACGGCGAAGCGTTAACACCGAAAGGTATACGAGTGAATCGTAAAATACGTAAATTTCGGCTGACGGTGGCTTGATGGATCTTTCAGCCACAAAAACGAGTAGCATCGCGCTGAGAACGCTGAAGTCTGACTTGATGGAACGCCTTCTCGACGTCAGCTATGAGGAGGTACGGATGCAGACGAGCACGTAGTAGGATGCCTACGAGATCTGGCAAGAGCGAAGGCCTTGATGTAAGCAGTCATAAGACTATGCGCGCCCTTGCGCTTGGAGGAGGCATCGAACACAACGCGTAACCTTGTAGTAGAGGAAGATTCCTTGAATACCGCCTGATGAGGAATATAGTATATGCGCGGATCATCGAAGACGTATTCTTCGACATCCTCTACGAAGCCTGCGGTGATGTGATCGTCGATCGTCTTGACGTATTGCTGCCAAACAGATGGATTTTGACTAAGGCGTTGATACTGATTTAGCAGACGACAGTACGCGAGCTGTTTATTATCGTCAAGATGTGGATGATCTGCTTTCCAAGGAAAGCAGACGTAAAGAACACCGTCAGAGAAGATGGCCGTATTGTTAAATTGTTGTACGATCGATTGTTGAAGTTCGACTGTCTACGGAGGGGTCGTAGTCATCGGCTATGCCGAGAGCATCTAATGACCAGAGGCGTTTTACTGCGACATCGTCCTCGTGCTCGTGACTGCGACCGTATCGACGGAACCTGGGCTCTTTGCGAAAGCCTGATAGAAAAACCGAGTTCCCGGAGACGACCGTTCCAAATCGAGTATGACACAAAACCATGCCCGAAGGCAGGCAGACTGGCGGATCTGGTGACACAACGTCCCACCAATGGTCAATGCCAATAAGGACGTCGGGAACGACCGACTGCGACTGACAAAACGGCAACGAGAACCCATGATCCTGAATGAACTTGATATCCTCCGACGACAAGCGCGGTGTAAATTGCGCTACGGTGACTGTTTGCTTAGTAGTGAGCTCCACTACGAGCTCCTTGTCCGACAGATCGACCAAGATGAGCTGCACGTTACCAGAGACTTCTGTGGTGGACTGACCACCAAACGCGATAAACGTGCGAGGCTGCACATTGGAAATTTTAAGGCCAAGGATGGATCTGGCTACGCTTGCTGTTATGAAGCTCCTTTGCGCTCCGGAGTCGAGAAACAAGATGACATCTTCGAGTTGTGCGGAACTGCAGTTGAATGCTTTTGGCTTTTACAAGCATGAGCGAAGCGAATCTTGAAGACGAGGTAACAGCGTTGACCGAAGATGTACCCGTGTAAAGCGACTGTACAGCTTCCGCTTCATCCTCAGACTCGAGAGCCTGATTCTGTTGCGGATATGGCGAACTACGGCGTTTATGATGACTTGATGCATCCCTGACGGGAGAACGAAACGCAACACGTTGTGGAGAATGCGAACGGAGAAGGACGCGGTGACCAACGAGATTTGCTTGACTCGTACCGCTCACGAGAGTACGAGCGTGATCCGTCACTACGAGACGAACTGCGAGCTCGTCGATGTTCTCTGGACGGGCTGCGTGACGAATAATGACGAGGCGAACGGTAGCGATGATGTTTATCGTCACTACGTCGATCTCTTGTTGAATGACGACGAGCTTGTGATGACTGACGACAGAGAAGATCATGATGATCTCCTCCGCACACGCGACAAGCTGGATAGTCACACGTACGAGACGAGTGACCCTTCTCGCAAACACCTCCAACAAAGACGACGTAACTGAACGACTGTACGACGGATAGCGACTGGAGCATCCAACGGACAACGAGTGGAACGATGGTCCACAGACTCACAGAAGCAACATCGAGAAGAAGAACTGGAGTGCCGTGAACGTGACGGAGAGCGCGATGGACTGCGCTGCGACAAACTTGTATTGACACTGAGGCTGGTAGATAGTGTTGTTGAGTCTTCGTACTTCTCCGTGGAAGCGATGATGTTATCGAGCTTCTTCATGACTTGATCAAGATCGAAATCCGAATTGGACTGGAACTCGAGGTCGTGCAGTTTACCGCTGCACTTCCGATGGAAACTTGCTCTTGACTAAGTCAAGTAGCGGTAACACTGTACGGAAAGTCTTCGTATCTACGCAAACCGTGAAGAATACCTGATATGCGGAAACCAGGTATTACGCAGGTCTTGACCGGTATTACGAGCCGCGGGCAGTTGCTGAAGTTGCTTATGAAGAGTCGCACGAGTCTTATAAGGACGATCGTAGCGCCTCTTCAAAGCCTTCACCAACTCATGGTAATTACACTCGTCGGGGTCAAGATCCTGAAGTACTACCTGGGCTTCGCCTTGCAACAAACTTTGTAAATATAAGATTTATAAAGCCGATGAATGTATTGCGGGTCATTATGCACTGCGAGCTCGAATGCGCACCAGAACCTATGAAATTTTGTTATATCCCCTGTAAACGGTTCTCAAGCGTAAGTTTGCCGAGCTGTACTACAGGCTGCGCTGATGATGTTAAGTACAGGGGGTCTGAGTGTACTACGGAATGATGTTGCGCGCAGTACGAAGAAGGGCCTGGCGCGTCAGTTGTACGCTGGGGCAGTACATGAGGACGAAGGACATCACTCGCTGTAGACGGCGTCGACGAATGGTCCGGTTGATGTTCTTGAGTACGTTCGGGCACACTCTGCGTGTTATCTGAAAGCGACGTAAGCTGATTGGTGTCAATAAGCGTTTTAATTTCATTAAAGCTATACCCCAGGCAGAATCCGTGGGAGCGATTCTCTTTGCCGTGTGACGTAGCGCCCCCCGGGAACATTCACGAAAGTGACAGTCCCGATTAAGGAAAGCGCCCAAAAAAGGCGCTAGGGTCTTCGAAGCCAAGCTGCACGAGATGAACGGGCCGACTTATCCGCAGCTGTGGTTATCGCCGCAGCTGTGAAATGGGCGTGCATAAAGTGGATGCCGCCCACATTGTCGCTTGTAGTATCGTTGGGCTTATTTCTGATCAGATGATTAAGTAGTGCGCACAACGGCTGCTCTAGATTTCTTTTTCACTGTTTTTTTTTCTCGAACAGCATTTTACTCAGGCTGAAGTCCCTCTCTCTGATTAAAAGTTTATTTATTGAGTTATAGGTGAGATGGCTATATTTTCCGGTGTTTTGTACCAAATTGGATCTGGTCTGAGTCGTTCGATTCACGTGGTGAGTTCATCGGTTTTATTTTTCTTGCCTTCAATTTTTTATTTGATTTGTTAGTTTGTTATATGGTGTCTGATTCCTGTTTTACTGTTTTTCATTGCATGGTGGCCGTCGCTTGAACATACACCTCGAAAAAATGCAGGCCGAGTTTTAGGCGGCTCACTTCTCACTTTTGAGAATCGGGACCCTGCTACAATCTCTCCCTAACACCATTTTATTTTGGTGCTCACTTAGGCCTTGTTGTAGAATTAGTTAAGTTCAAGTGCGGTTAGGAGTTAGCTGAGCTAAACGAAAGGGAAAAGTGAGAGATAATTGCTCACATCTGCTACATGCCCTATCCTAGGGCACATTGTGTGATGAGAAATGAGATCCTAGGGAAATGATAGCACACGGTTCAATGTCTCCTCAGGCTGCATCTCAAAAAAGCGCTGAAACCAAGAGTCATGTTGTGAATGTTGTGGGGGGGGGGGGTCCCCGGCCGAGATACTGACTGAGGTTTGCGGACTCCAACAGAGTGTTTTAGGACCTGCTGGTCACTGGCCATTCTTTGATTTTTCAATTTGTTCCCATTGTTTCGCTGCTTTGGATTGCGGATTCGTTCGCGTACTTATTGCTATTGCTAATGTAATAAACCTATATGGCGTGAAATAGCAAAAAAGGCGAACTAAACTCTGCTGGGGTCACCAAACTTTTCGCGACATCAAGGCCGTGTGCTAGTTTCTCGAAGTTAGGTGAACCAATGTTTTTTTTTAAATTTAATTGTTTTGAACGATACAGTTTCTTCATTTTTCGGAGGTGTGGTTCACCAGAACAGAAAGCGACTTTTTCGCCTCTCGCGCTAGACATTTTTCGCTGCAGAACTCTAGGTCCACTCATGATCACGATGGACCTGAGGTTCCTGCACCGAAAAATTGCTTCGCGCAACGAAACGCGAAAAAGTCGCTCTCTGTTCTGGTGAACCACACCCCACTTCGCAAAGTATCGCACGAATATTTTTAACATTTACACATGTACTTCAATATTCAGTACATGTCTTTTTCATTGTCGCCAATTATCCTAATCTCCGGAGTCTGTGAACGCGGCGTAGCGACATCGCGTTTTGTCTTGGAGATCCATACACGTTCTAATGCGGCGTGAATTTCCTGTGCCCATTTCAGACGGAGGCGACTTCGCTTCAGAATGTCCTGGGAGTTATCACCCTCACGAACATGTTGAAATATGTTGATCTGCACTTTAAACCGCCTAAAACAATCGTGAGTTTAATATGTATCTATTTCTGATTCCCGTTTGAAAATGTTAACCGTTTCGCCTATTTCTTCGATGTTTTGATTCAGATGGGCCCTGACCTCTTCGCATACTTTTATCGGGAACAGCGATTGCTAACAATTATGCACGGAACGGTTCCAGTTGAGAAGATATATCTGTACAGTAACCAGTTGTCAGTTTTGTAAGTTCCTCTCGGTTATTTTCTCTCAATAATTTCTCACAAGAGTCCAAATCCCCATTCACTTTCACCCGTTCTTCAGCCCGTGTCGTGTTTACTCGCCAATAATTTTGAGTGTAGAATTTCAAAGAGGTCCCTCAAAAAAAATCTGAAGTACCTATATTCTTCTATTCTGTGGCGGAGGTGGGAGAGGGTTGGCGGGTGTGGTTCACTAGGACAGAAAGCGACTTTTTCGCGTTTCGCAGCGCGAAACATTGTTCGTTGCGGGAATCTCGGGTCCACTGATGATTCGCTGCGGGAACCTCGGGTCCACTGATGATCAGCGGTGGACCTGAGGTTCCCGCAGCGGAAAATGTTTCGCGCTGCGAAACGCGAAAAAGTCGCTTTCTGTTCTAGTGAACCGCACTCTACATCTCTTTTCCTCAGTAAAACTTCTATCCACTTTAATTTGCTTTCACTGCCATTTCGAATTTTGTGTTGTGCGAGCGTGCATAGTTTTTATGATGAAGAAATCTGGAAATTTAGGCTTACATAGACGGTGGATATACAAACAATTTACCCGATTTCGAAGATATCCGGACAATAACTATCTCACCATTCTCTGGTAATGCTGAAATTTCACCAACGGATGAAGAGAATTTCTTCGATTGGAAAATGACAGTGTGCAACCAAACGATGAATGTAAGTAATATTAAATAGTTTGTTCAGGGAAACGAACATAAGGAGACTGAGTAGTATTGGGTGGCAACAATTAAGAGGTGCGGTACTTTTAGCTTACTGTTACACCAATAACATCTTGAAACTTTCAGGTGAATCTGCAAAACATTGTCCGAGGAGCACAGGCATTGTTTCCACCAGCACGTCCTGTTTTAGAAAGTTACTACGAAGCGGGTTTCAAAGATGCTTTCAGGTTCCTTATCAAGCATGACATTATTGAGCGGAACAGTGGTACTGCTGTCTAAGTCATTCTTTGTGGTTTTATAGATATGATTCTAATCGTTTATGTCTTTGAATCACTTTCCTACGGTCATTTGTTCGCTAACACGCGTTTAAGCAGACTATTTTTTTTCGTTGATTGCCAAGATTCACCAACTCTTTTCAAAGTAGTAGTAATTTATTGCCTTGTGTTGTGAAATTCTTTGCCTCTAGGTCGGCATTCATGCTAGGTTATTTTTTTCTGAGAACTGTTCAAGTTATGGACCATAATTCGGTGTCAAAAACTCCTCGCATTCTAGTCATCCGGCTTATATTACCTCTTTTACAGTTTTGTCAATGTGTTAATGAACTACAAGCTCAAAGGTAATGACTGAGCGACATATCTGTTCGGGTATGGGTTGCTATGGAAAAAGGCAATGTCGCGTTTGTTGCATGATCGTGCATAATTCTCAAGACATACCCTCGCCTTCAAATGACCAGAAATTGTGCAATTGCAGAAATTGACGTGGCATTGGCACACGTGGCTAAATTCTCGATGAAAAGGTGACATCACGTGTGCTCAAAGATGTTCTTGAATCGATGCCACGTCAATTTCTGCAATTGCACAATTTCTGGTCATTTGAAGGCGAGGGTACATGTACGGGCACATTCATAGTCGGTCCTCCGATCGTAACGATCGCACAGCATTAGATACGTATCGATCGTCGAATACTCAGGCAAGTCTAACGATCGATACGCATCGAATGCTGTGCGACAGTCACGATCGTTGCTGTTGGACGGCTGATTATGCGTGCGCCCTGTGCAACTGTTACGATCGTTACAATTGGACGACCGACTATAATGCACCCGATGCACGCATTTGTTGTGTATTATACGCAGAACACGCAATAGCCACGACATCGCGTTTTTTCACGGCAACACAAACGCAAACTGTACAGGATACTCATATGAGTACGGAGGAATTGCATAGAAAGTCTTGCGTGTCGGTTGTTTGATCGCTTTGTCCTTATTTGAGACTCATTTTGTTTCTAGCTGACTCAGGAGCTACTAAAAATGCCTCGTATAATTAATTGCCATGATTCCTTTTTACTCAAAGCACAGGTAAATGTATAGCGTTTTGTCACTTCGCTTGTTTTAAAACCTCTTTGTGTACGTTATCGTCAATAATAAATGTTTTTCGTCACATACGTTGCACTACAAATAGCGTTTACTTTTGGCTGGGGTAATCCCTTTCGCCCACGACTTGGTCGTCGGTCGGCAACGAAAAACGGCAAATTTGAGTAGAAATAAAACATTTGTTCAAACGAACTTCTACAGCAACTAAAAGTCGTCAAATATTGGCGTGGTGGCATATTCATTGTTGCAATGTTTTCAGTGAAATCCTTTATCAGTTCGGTCATCGGTCAAGGCTGGCGTCGAGACGGACGCTGAGGCTGACAGAAGCCTGTAGTCGAAAACGAAGAAGATGTTATGGTGCTGGACGATGTAGGTGCTTGAAATGTTCCTGTGATTTCGCTCCTAATTCATGTAAACTTTTATTCGTTTGGGAACTGTCTCCCGCTAGAAAATCAGGTGGGATTCTAAGCGTATATTTTCTTTGGCCATTTCCTTCTCTTCAGTAATCATGTCGTTTCAGTTATGGGAATTTTCCAGTGCGGGCAATCTTTTTTCTATGCACGTTAATGTGGGCGTGATTCTAAGTGAAGTTTCACTAAGCTCAACTTTTGCACTGGATTAGTGACACAAAGGGAATGATACTCTCGTTAAGGTTTAAACCTTGTTGAATTAATAAAAAGGGATTCTTACTCCTTATGTGTAGAACCAAAATAAGGTTGAATATTACAGGAGTGTCGTTGAAAGTGCATCAACTACTTCGGTGTGAAATAGTGCTCCATTGCTGTCGGATGCGAGTGATCTTATTTTGCTCTAGTTTCTTGTGTATTATTGGACTTATTGGAAATGCGCAAACAATAAACAATGTTGAAGATGTTTTTTGAAGTAACCAGAAGCACAAAAGCACATAAAATGTAAGAGCGTTTAGGAAGTTGTGCGAGTGGCGCAGTGAAGCAGGTGAAAAGGTCGGAGAGAACGTATAATTCTTATTTGAAGATTGGGAATGGCACATTTACTTGTACCATTCTCTTTCGGCAAAGAAAAACGTGTCTGTATCGGTAAAAATAGATTATGAAACCAGGTGGCAATTGATGGGGAAGTCAGTTCAATTAATAACTGTGCCTGATTGTGACGCGACCTTTTACGATTTATCATTTTCCACGCATTTACCTCTCCATCCTTGTAGCTGTAGGTTCAGGTTAATTTTCCGAAATGCAAAAGAGAACTTGTGTGCTTTGTGGAGTGCTTGCCTCACAGGCAAGCATGAAGCAATCTAGCATCAATAAGAAATGGAATATCGTGTTAGCGGCATCTCTTTCGTTGGCCGGATTTCTGGATACCGCTGATGTGGGGAATTTGGTAGAGAGAATCACTTCCCGCAGCAAGTATTTATGCCCATCGCATGTGGTTGTAGCGGTAAGATAAAGTTGATCTGTTTTGTTACCGAAAAGGGAGGTCGTTATGTGCGTGGAGGCCGTCTTGAAAACGGTACTGTGCGCATTGCAGAGGTTTTTACATGAACTAGGACAGTGAGTTGTTATTGTGAAGAGGCAATCTGAAAAAAGATTTTGTCATTGTGAGAGATAGAACCATAGTAAATTCCAACAATATCTACGCTTCAGTTCACGTATAAGCCCCTGCGACACAAGAGGGCACTGTGACAAAGCGCCATGAACAACCTCCATTGATAGTGGTATTGCCCTTTTCACAACCTCTATCGTGAGGGCTATTATTCTTTTGAAAACAGGCGCAGTTCCTATCTGCTGAAGTGGTAGCCGCTGGGAGGAGGCCGTTGTCATGTCACGTATGTCCTTTCACTAGACAGTCGACCGGTGACATCTTTAACATTTATTCCTGAAAGTCTCGTCGAAGCCATAAATGGAATGAGTAATGTAAGGCTTCACTTCCATGACAAATTTCAAACACACACACGCGCATATCATTCAGAGCGGTGCTTCTATCAGTGGAGAAGATATCAGGGCATTTATAAATGGTGCGCGAAGAAACTACTATGGAACGTCTCTGTGGCCTTTGCACCAGACGGAGGAGGTTAGAAAAGGCAATTTTCGGCGGTTTCTTAACGAAGACGTAAACTTCAGGAGGGGTTGGAGGAGGGTGTACCCGCAGCGAACGCAGGGCAACAAGATGACAGTGCAGAGCCAGGTCGCAGGGGAGTCGCAGAAGAGGAAGTAGAGGTCGAGGACGTAGAAATGGTTGAAGAAGTGGATACTAGTGAAGATGAGGCACCTTCTGAAACAGAAGAGGTTATGTGAAATATGCTGCTATAGAGACGTTGGAGAAACTCTATTTTTAGGGGTCCGTTTATGAACCTGAATCAAGTGAATCGGAATTCAGCTGTGATGGCGACGTAGGTGACACGGATCCAGCAGTTCTTCAGAAGTACTACATGGTGAAAGGAGAATTGCTGATGAAGCTGTTCCGCTTTTGTCCCGAATGTGGGACTAGCTCAGGAAGGCGCAGTTGAAACCAGTGGGAACAGCTGCGTCGTGCGCTTCGTGTGCCAGAAATGTACTGTCAGGCCACCAGGGAAGAAGTGGGAAAGTCAAGAGAAGGCGGTGGATCACCCAAAGGAGCGAATGTATAAGGGTAACCTGGTGGCCGCAGTCGCAGCTATAATCACAGGGCTGCGATATGTGGTGAGTCGAAGAAGCTCTAATAGCAATCTCATCCTAGTCTTCTTTCCACTTTCAGCAACTGGCACGGTGGGCTAACCAGATGGACCTGGCTTTGTTCTCGAAGACGTTCTTCTGGAACGTCTTCGGTTGGACAAAGCCAGCCATACAATCGGTTTATGGGAGTCATCAGAGGTTCGTATTAGAGAAGATGAAGGAACGCTATGAGGTACTGTGCATAATCGTAATCCCTAAAACAACAAGCAATATGTATCCAAAATTAGGAAGGAGAGGGGCTCCAGCTCGCAGCCGACGGCGCCTTCGATAGCCGGGGTTACTCGGCCCTGATCGGAAAGGTGGTGTTATCGGACCTACGATCTAATTTAGTCCTCCATACGGAAGTCCTCCATCGCTCTGAAACAGGTGAGGTGACAATGATTGACAACTTATACATCCGCAACGAAGCCATATTTCTAGAGAACAAGAGCAACCGTATGGAGGTGGAGGGCGTCAGGCGCCTTATGCGGTGGGTGGTCAGCTGCGGATTGCGAGTCAGTTCATTGACAACTGACCGTAATCGGGCTGTGGGGAAGGCGCTAAGAGAGATGGAGCGGAAATAGGTGCCATTCGTCATCTCTATGACGGATGGCACCTCGCGAAGTGGCTGGGAAATCGGCTGCTGGAGGTAGGGAAGTAGTTCGAGTAACAATCCTTCACTAAATGCACCATTTAGGTAGCAAAGAGGAAAGAGTGCGAGAAGGTGGGCTTTGGGTGGAAAACGTGAAAGACGCAGCTGTGGAAAGCTATCGAGGTAGAGGATGGGGCCATGACGAAAGCAATATTCAATACGTGCACAATGCACGTTATTAACGTGCATGAATGGCCCTTGGTCCGTGTCTTGTTATACTTACTTACTTTCTTCTTTTTGGTTCACGAGCAAATTTCAGGATGAAGACACGACGGGGCCCATAACGGATTGCGGCCATGAACCACTGGAGGATTCGCGTGACAAATATCTGGACCCGGCAAGCAGGGCTTACAGGGAGTTCCGAGAGGTGGTCTTCACTGGGTCTTTCCAGAGAGACTTGGTCAAGGCAAGCCCATACGGAGGTACCTCCGTATGTGAGGCAAAAAATGCACTGGATAGACTCTATTGCCCTAAAGAGATATTCTATCCAGTGTCGACCTACCCGCTCCGCGCTATGATGGCTACAATGCACTGGAACACATTGCAGCTAGCGGAGTCAAGCGGGGAAAGAAAAGTGCTGAGGAAACGCGAGATCCAGCGAAAGTACCTATCGAGGAGAACCAAGCAGGATCTAAGTCTCCAGCAAAACACTTGTGGAGGGACTTAGTGATGGCCGAAGTCCTCAAGGGACGACTTGTAGCCCTGCACAGTAGGAGCGGCCGTGACCCTTCTGAGTGGTTCGCCCAAGTCATGGCTACCCAAGAATACTATGAATGCGAGCTGTGATGTGGTAAGAAGTGTTAGGCAGAACGCTTTATTACATTTGGATAACTCAAGAAACTACTGCAGGGCGCTATCGCGCCACTCCTCACCGTCACACTCCAGACTGGCGTCCCGTCCATCTGCCCCCTGCAAATTCTTTGTAAGGAATTAGCATGGTTATGCATAATAATGCCTCACCCTGAACCCTACGTAGTCTCCAGTGGTGGAGGGGATGCCTTCATAATGGCTCCCCTTGCGCAGGCCGGGATTTCGTACCTCTTGCCTATTCCGAGGTAGCCATAACACCAGAATACAAATGAACGGTACGCACAGTACCGGAGTCTCCTGGAAGCGCACAAAATGGGTCTCGAACATAATCATGAGGAGAAACACTTGCTTGTTTTCGTCGTGGACTGGCTGCACTTCCTTCTTCAAAGCAAACTTCAGGTGCCCCATTACAATGTCCAGCATCTGAATACTGATCATCGTTTCAGTTGTACAAAGGGTACACTCACTTTACCTCTCGGTCCACTACTTTATAAAACGAAGGTGGTCCACGACGCATCTTCGACTCTCCTTCACCTTCTCCTGAAGTCCTTCTAAGGGCTGATTCCTTCTACTTCCGCCTTCTTCTTCTAGTGCCTCACGGACAACACACGTTCTCGCGGACCGTGGTGAAGGACACACACGATCCGCAAGAGCACCAGCTCTTGTTGTTCGTCCTCGAAGACGGCAGCTCCTTTCCCAAGAGAAGACAAAAACTGAACTCAGACTCCATATATCGCTCAGTTCCTGTACTTGCAGCGTCATTCGAACCCTTACCTTTCATCCCTCGCATCGGCTACCTTTCGCTTCGCAGCCTTCTCCTCCTGCCGTTTTAGAAATTTTCTCATACTTCTCGTCCGATGGGGTTCTCATTGGCACAGGACATGAGATGCCATTTCTACCCGATGCCATTTTTCACTCTTCAAACGCTTAGTCCTGATTGTAATTTGATTATTGAGACGGCACGAGCAGAAAATATAGGCCTAGGAGTGCAAACACAAGCTCGTTCTCTGAAGCTAGTTTGGACTACAACGCAGAAACCACTTGCAACTTCGCGCCACACCGTCGCGTAACCACTCCCCGGGGCCGTATGCTGAATGTTGGGTAGGGGACGGGGATGGGTGAACGTTGGGGAGGTTCGTCGCAGGACCCACTGGGCAACGGTCGCACCTTTGATTTTGCAGCTTTGTTTCCATCCTTTTACTGTTTCTGATTGTATATTCGCACGTAAATACCTTTCTTTATACCAAAAGCAGCGATGAAAGAATGGAAACAAAGCTGCAAAATCAAAGGTGCGGCCGTTGCCCAGTGGGTCCTGCGACGAACCTCCCCAACATTTACCCATCCCCGTCCCCTACCCAACATTCAGCATACGGCCACGGATGTCGTTCGCTAGAGGGAAAGTGAATTTCTCGTGTTTCGCAGCGGGAGGCATTTCTCGCCGCGGAAACCTCAGCACCACTGATCGTGAATGGTCCCGGGGTTCCTCCAGCGACAAATGTTTCGCGCTGCAAAACGGTCGCTTTATGTCCGAGTGAACAACCAAGCCACACCATGCCGATAATCCTTATGTATTATCTGAGTATTCCAGAAAATGTTTATATGTTTGGAATGCTTACATGATGCACAATATTAGTCTTCAACAGTGGGCACGCCAATGGCCGATGTCAGACTTTGCGATTGGAGCGATTGTGCACATCACTACAACAGAGGGCGACTTTTTCGCGTTTCGCAGCGCGAAACATTTTTCGCTGCAGGAACCTCAGGTCCACCGCTGATCATGAGTGGACCTGGAGTTCCTGCAGCGAAAAATGTTCGCGCTAGAAACGCGAAAAGATGCCCTCTGTTCTAGTGAATCACACCCTTGCGACACGATTGGCGTGCCCACTGTTGAAGAGTAATATTATGCATCATGTAAGCATTCCAAACATATATATTACAAATAAAAACATAAATAAAATATAATTAAAACAGCTGCCTTCCGCCTCTGCTATGAAGAGTACTGAGTACTTTTTACGGCTAATTTGTGTTAATGGTGCAATTACGGTGCATGTTTCCAGCACGGTTAACAAGCAAAGTAAACAAAGAACGATGTTCTTCTGCGAGTTTTGGGCGATATTCCTCTTGAATTTATTACATATATATGGAAACACATATATGGGTTTTCTAGGATACCGCAATAACAAGCCTTTTCCTCTTATAACATTCACCTGCCTTTTGTCTGTACATATTTTGGAAGGTACACGTACTCCAAGGTGAGTGATTGCACTTTTGAGTCCTAATAATTACTCGTTTTTACTAACTACTAATTACTCGTACTATCAATTATATTGTTAAGCATGTTGAAACTGATTCTGCCTCTTTACAGATACCTTCGTTGGCTCACTCAATACTCGAACTTATTAACCGCACTCGTCAACACCATTTCGATAATGGATTTTTTCAATTACTGAGACTGACTATGAGATTTGAAGTAGTCCTTTCAAAGTGTAAGCGCTTGTTTTTTTTTCTTCTTACGGGAGGATACCCATATATGGAGATATCCTTTTTTATAGCATGCTGCAAACCATGGATACTATTTGCTGTTTCCTTTTCAGTCAGCTGATTTCTATTCCTTCTGGCATTGGTATAATGTTTGTTTTGTGGCGCAGTTACAACTGTTTTCGATTTTGTTTTACGTTCATTCGCTCAATACTTCAATCAGGTGCACGTAGAATATCACAATGATCACTATCTCCTGCTGTGAATATTTCTTACTATGGTATTTCAGGGTGAGCAGCTGAGCTACTCGATTCTTGTGAACGTTAGCGTGTTAGTCGTGATGATTACCACAAAGTGAATCCACCGAGATTCAACGAGTGTAAAGAGATGTCAGGCATGTCTATAATACAAGATTGAGTGGGTTTCACCTTGATGTTACAACCACATTAATTTGCATATTTTTTCCTGTTGCTTTCTCTGTTCTGTGTGTTTGATTTTGTTTTTCTGTTTCTTTTTCTTTAATATGATGTTTCCTCTTTCGCACATAGTAACAAATTTAGGGTGGCCTGTTCCGCATAAATGTACATTTATACAAGTTTTAGACGTGCGAATCTCATGATGGGACCACTGCTAAACAGTGTGCTTTTATGTCCACTGTTCTATCTTGTTCTGTGCTCTATCAACAGGAGAATCTCCCATTGGTGAATGTGTTGTGCTCTTATTGTGCTATCCGTTTTCAGCTTTGATATTTGTTTCTTCATTGAACGATTCTAGATGTTGCTGTTAATTGCAACACGTTTCCTCATTTCATCTCCAATGATAGTGATGTTGAACTAACGTTTCATCCGTCCGGTATACAGGTACGTTATTCCAATTCTTCTTCTTTTCTGGAACTCTACCTTACTTCTCCCTCATTAATAATTTCAGGTTGCGTATTTCATGTTGCCGCATCGAAGAAGTGTTGTCGACTGTTTCTTACAAGCCTTCCAAATAAGGTTTGCTGGTATTTTGGTGAAACGTTGCAAATTGTGGTTCTCGTGGTCATCTGTTTTTTAGTTGCTCTCGATTATTTCTGCTGATTTTGACGTGCACGAGGCTGACCTCTCTTCTGCATCTGTCTGGTTGACCACGTTTCTTTTAAAATTTCCCTCATGCTACACGGACAAATGGTAACGTGAGTTTTTTTTTGTTTTCCTTTGAGAGAAAATGATGGTGTCTTATTACTTTGCAGCATACATTCTTCTGCTTGTTATTGAGCATGCGAATACTCCGTCAGCAGACCGGTGTAGCTGGGCATTATATATCGATTCCGCCGAGTGTCGACATTTCGTCACCGCCATCAATCCCAAGTAAGGCTGAATG